GGCCACCAGCGCGGGGAGGGGCGGGGCGCCAGCGCCATCACCAGAGCCCGAAAGCGTCGTCATCAAGAGCCTACACCAGCCGATCCGTGATGATCACTCGGCTGAGCTTTTCAGTTTTAAAATGTTGCAAGACACTTGCAGGTTTGGAATTATCATAAGGAACTCCTTTATAGTATGGACGGTGGCATAGTGACTTTTTTTTTCTTCAGAACCATGTAATATGTGTTTCTTATGTGTTCTACATATTATGGCAGTGTACTCAAAATTAGGTCATTTGAATTAGTGATAAGGGTAGGAGTTGCTTATTTTGAGTTTGTAGGGATCAGGATCTAGAATCTCTATTCGAATGTTTGAATTATGTGGTTGTCCCTGCAGAAGAAGATGTTTGCTATGTGCTAGTAATAGTCAAAAGAATTTGATATTACAGATATTTGAAGAAACACCAATAGCCACAAGTTTTTCGAAATGAATACTAGTTAACAGCCCCGTGCGTTGCAACAGGCTACACATATTCTGATGATTTATGGTCACACCCTCTGGCGGCGGCGGCTAGGGTTCCCTCCCGCTGCTTGTGGGTGTGATGTGGGAGGGGAGAGTGGAGCGGGTCGTCTATAGATGAGGAATTGCTCAAAATAAAGGCTGCAATAGACTAGAGAACAAAATGTCAAATTATACAATTTGATTTTATCAAATTGTATTGACTTTGATACAATTGTAGTACACAAATTACATAATTAACAAGTAATAGATGCATATATCACAGCTTCACAACTCCTTAAGAAATACGATTGCATTGCATTATAGATGTTGCCCGCGCTTTCGCCATTGATTCGTCTTCCTGATCAGAAACCCACGGCAATGGCACCGACCAAAACCACGGTTCCAATCGCTGCCAGACGGCCCCCACGGCTGCCCTTGTAGGCTCCGCTGTCGTACGGGCTGTTGTCCACCAGCGGCTGGCTGCCGAACGCTGCCGCTCCGGCCACACCGCCCGCAGCCCCCGCCGCCGTCGCGGCTTCACCCTGTCCGCCCATGTCCCCGGTACCATCGAAGGCTCCTGTCCCGGCGCCCGGTGCAATCCCGTAGCCGTCACCCAAGGGTCCTGCCCCCGCGGCACCCTCTCCGCCGCCTCCCGCCGTTGGTGCAATGCCGTAGCCGTACCCGTCGCCCAAGCCGCCTGCTCCCGGGGCAACTCCTCCTACGCCGGCAAAGGCTCCGGCCCCTGGAGCAACCCCGTCCCCGAGCTGCGCCGCCTGCGGCAGCTCGGCCGCGTGGCCGTTGCCGCCCTCCACCTGGCCGAAGGGCAGGTTGCTGCTGTGCGCGCCAATGGGCTCGGCGAAGGGCGGCAGCGCGGCCGCGAGGCCCGGGGACCCCGGCGCGCCGCAGTGCTGCGCGTGGCGGGGCTCGTCGCTGGCGCGCCACGCGAGCTCGCCGTCCTTGTCGCGGACGCGCATGTCGCCGTCGTCGACGAGCTCGAGCGTCTGGAGGAAGTTGGTCCCGTCGGTGTTGGTCTCGCCGTGCCACACCTCCTCGGCCCCGTCGAACACCTCCAGCCCGTGCCACGAGAAGAGCAGGGTGCACGTGTTCACCGTGCTCACCGGCCGGCACTCCGACTCCCACGCGCTCGCGCGGGCAGCGCTGCCGCCGCCTTCGCCCTCACCACCGGCCATCACCTCGACGTAGCAGAAGTCGGCGCCGAGCCCGCCGGCGCCAGGCGCGGTGTGGGTGCGCACGAAGTAGGCCGCGTACTTGCCGGACGGAGACGTGAGGAACAGCACGGGCGGGCTGGCGTGCCCTCCTGGTGGGATGCTCGCCAGGATCTGCTGCTTGGACACGCGCTCGATCGTGCCGGCCGGCGCCGTCGCCGCCGTGAGCGAGCAGGAGAGGAGTAGGAGCACGGCTATGTATGACATGGCCTCCATGGCTGGCTGGCAGCTTCTCGATCGTGTTTCTTGCTTGTGTGCTTGCTGCTCTGTGGCTGTGGTTGTGGATGGTGTAGCATGATGAAGCGTGCGTGTGCTTATGTAGTTGAGGTGGTGATGGAGTAGGAGATGTCGAGTGGTTAGCTCAGGAGCTGGAGTCAGTACATCACCCGTTCCAATACTGCATGCACGAGTAGGGGAGTGGTTCTGTGTTCCAATACTAAAAAGCTTTCTTTTTTTTAGAACTACTAAAAGGCTTTCCTGAAGAATAAATATAGTGAATGATACCAATGAGACTCTAAATTCTGAAACAGACAGATGATGACTATGAATCAGACGTGACAATGTAACACCTGAAGTGAAGCTCGGAGCCTAGGAAGATCTAAATTCATGGCCATAAATCGCAATACAGGAACATCGATTTTATCGCAGTAGGTGTCGGTGGATGCAGCCAAATACTCCTAATATGCAGCGGGAAGCAAATAACTCTTTTTCTCTACCAGTATTAGACCATGATTGGAGGGGAAGTTCTGTTCATGTGTGATGTAGGAATGTAGCAATATAATTGTCAAAAGAGAAAAATTCACTACAGGTCCTCATGCTCGTCGCGTTGGCCGCATTTCTCCCTGTACTTGCAAATATCTGAAATACAGTCCTACAACTTGTCTTAGGGGTTCATCTACGGTCCAAAATACCATTTGCTCTATGTATCTGCTGATCTGGCTGTTGACTGGTGCGTCCACGCAGGCTTTGAC